ATAATATTTATATCTGCTCTTACTTTCGTAATATATATGTAGCAGTATTTCATCACGAATATAGACTGTTAGCATAGAATCTCTACTTTTCACTATTTCATATGGAATATTTTCCTGGATCCTGGATCACCTTCATGTAATTTTTGGTCTGCCTATCGATTTTTGTATTGAAGGTTACACTTTAAAATTGCACGTCACATGTTATCCATAAGATACGTCCAAGTCAATAAAATGTTTATATTTTAATTAAAACGTTTTCTCAAATTATTATTTGTATATCATCCTCAGGGAGTGACACCTTGACATGGTGAAGAGACCCGGTAGTTACGTAGAATCTTCGAGCGATGCCGGCGGTAGCCTGCTACTGGTAGGGCCTCCCTTACCAATAAAGTCAAGGAAACAGAAGACCTGGTAGGCCCAAGCAAACGTGGAAGCGAACTCTAGAGAAAGAAATCCAATCAAGCGGAAAAGCCTTTGAAGAAATTAAAACCCTGGCAAGAAATCGTGACAGTTGTAAAAAGTTCGTTATAACCCAATGTTCTCCTGGGAACGCCTTGGAATGAAGAAGTAGATACATAACAGTTGTCTTGGATCTGGACAACCATAATTTTGATTTATTGTGTAAATACCAAGTGATAAATCTCTGCATTTTGTGCTTAATATTTAAGTTGACTAGCAGCATTTCTAAACTATAGAGAAGTATTGATTTAACACAGGCATTGTTTATAAAGATGGCTCGTGCTTTTTACAGTTTAAGCTGCATAAATAGCTAATGGATTATATGTTCTGTATCAGTGATGTAGCGGGGAGTGGGAAGGGGGAATTTTAGAAGATCTATCTTACCGTGAGTGCCAAGCCATTCTATATTACAACAATGCACTTAATATACTACATTATCTTTTCATTTTATTTTTTATTTTCTGTTTGTCTTTTTATATTATATTATCTTATATTCCATTAATATATGCCTCTTAGGGGGTTGGCGTCTCGGACACAGTACGTAACAAAGCGCCTAACAGTTCTATATCAATAGATCAATATATGTCTTTGGGGGGTTGTAAAGAGCTTTGGTGTCTCGGACGCTGTACGCAATAGAGCGCATACTTTTTCTATGTATTACATCAATGTATGTTTCTTGGAAGTGTCAAAAAAATACGGTACGACAATTATGCTCGTATCATCAATATTTTAAATCAGAAAATTATTAATATTGAAAGCTGGTGGCCTGAAGTATTTTATTCATAAAATTTCTATCCTGTTTTCGTAAAGGTCAATAATAATCTAAATCGCTTTATATATTTCTGATTTAAAAGTACATTTATTGGTAAATGTACTTCAGATCAACGTTATCTTTAGCTTTGAGTATCTTTGCAAACTCACATCACTTTACTCAACAAATTTTTTTACGACTAAAGAATTCTGCTTAAAATAATAAAGTAGTATACTTTTTATATCTAAAGAATGTCTTGAAAATCACTGATTAAAATCAAATTATTTAGAACAAATATTTGTACATCAAATATTTCCCTTCCGTCACTGCTCTCTGCTCTCCCAACGATTAACCAAATTGATTATAATTGCTTAATCAAGTAATTAGTTGTAAATTCTGTTTCGATAAAACGCATAACCACAAAAAAATTCTCAGTCACTTGAGTCATAGGTTGTTTCTGCAATATAAACTTATCTGAAAAAATTGGGAATTTCACTCTGACATAACGGTGCCAATAATATATCGTATGCACAGTTAAGGGGCGCCATAAAATATTCATTATCATCGTCAATATCAGCTTCAATATCGTGTTTACTGTCAACATCGGCGCTATCATCTTCCATTGCACGAGTGTGCATGACAGTAGTAATGAAAAAATAAAATCAAAAATGTTAATTGTTTTTATATAAATTTTTTATTTTAATTTAAAATTTAAATTGAAATTAAAATTGAATTTAAATTTAAATATAAATTTTATTTGCATTACGGATGTGACGGATTTGATCATCGCTGTCGACTTGTTTTTGTATTTGTGGCAATGATTTTGATATGAAGTTTTACAGACTCGTATAATATAATTGCGAAGATGTTCCAAGATCTTTCATGGTGTGTCAGCAGAGAGGGTAGGGATTTCACAGCATCTCAAAGTTAAAGTATTATTTTTGGAATTTATTCTTGACTGTTGCATGAATCAGTGATTTTATAAAATATATACGTTTAATTGCTAAAACAAAATTTATTTAAATAATGTTTGTCTACAAAATTGTTTGTACTTCATTAACAGAAACGTGCAACTAAAATTATTATTTACATTTTTTTTTATTATTATTATTAAAACTTTACAAATTATGTCAATGAAAAGATTATATTAAAGATTTGGTCATTCAGAGGAATTTTACAAATTTATGTGGAATTGTGAAGATTTGCAAATTTTTATGCTGATTAAATAAAATAACCTAACTTATTAAAATTAAAAAAAAATTGTTATATACAATTTTTTTAATATATTTTTATAAATAGTGAAATAGGAATAAAACAATAGTATAGGACTAGTACAATTGAAAAATAACAAACAGATAATTGTATAGGTACAAAATTATTAAAGATCTAATGTTTTTAAACAGTACATCATAAAAGAGTGACGTCTGACTTGCATGGAACATCTGGCGGCAACTATTAAGAATATGGAAACAATCTGTCATTGCAGTGTTGTTTCTTCCTGGTGATATTAGCAGCCTACTTTTATAATACAGTTCATTCCGTGACATCCAATCAACTTAGAATGAACAATTGGACATGAAGTTATAATATCCAATTCGGTTGAACAAGCTACCGTACTACTATTCGTTAATTTTGTATATGTACTCGTATACATATATTTGTTTAGAAGTCCAAAAAAACACACACATTTTATTCTTTAAAGTGCTGGACTAGTTCAATTATCACACAATGCGCTGCTTGTATTGTTACTGAACTTGTTGTATTCCGAAAGTAACGCTTGTTGCCTTCTAAATTCCACTGAGCCACGTTTCCTAATATTTACAGTCACTATATTAGAGTAGCGTTTAGAGTCCCTGAGTTTATAGTTATACACCTGAAGATTATGTCCCGTCTTTTATTTATATAGTATGAAGAGATCAACTTAATATGTTAGTAAAAATAATGTTGGTAATATTTTGACGTCCAACACTATTCAACGTTCGACAGCGCAAATGTAATGGAGTGGTATATAAAGTTCTGCGACCGAAAATTCTATTGTACTACCATCTTCTAGCGTAACCCAATGAACCATTCTCATAACTCTCAGAAATTTAAGACTTAGATTTAAGATTGGATTTAGAGTCGCTAATTACTTAATTGATTTTAAGTAAGATACTACACATGGGTCTGTTGGTCTTGGAGGTCACTTACTTTCTAATTAACATCTTAATATATTCTTGGATAAGCAAATAAAGCATTCAAATATTTTGTTATAAAGATTATCTAAAAGCAATATAGTTTGTTTTAAGGTCTATATAACTTTATTTAGCTGATCCTTTTCTAGATCAGCATATCAAAATGAACGCAATTTCGCATAGGTCCAACATTCTGTCTGTCTATTACGACAGACATAGAATATTATGTTATTACTTGCTCGATTGTTTATTAATACTATAATTTATCAATACTTTAATCAATTTATTTAAATAAAATATATTCAACGTGACGTAGAACTCAAAATATCAATAAGCATAATAAATATAATCAACACTCCAACTAAGTAATTGTATACATAAATATTAAAATGCAATTTACAGCTTGCATCACTACTCGTACTTAGCTTTAGAAGTAATCAGCATACAAATGTGTGCAATAATATCTTGTAGTCTGTAGTCTGAAGCACACCTGACTGATTCTCTACGTACTATTTCAAGATTTTTATTTTTATAATAAAAATTTTACTTTTGATGTGCCAGGAATTAAATTACATCATATCGATTCGCGTGTTGCAATATTGTTTCACGCATCTTGCACAATCTGTACGCATGTTCTCGGGAACAACTTTCAGACTGTAATTAGCATAGCCAAGGTTGCCACATGTTAGTAAAAGTTTCTCGAAACGATCGTCAGTGTTTAGGCAGCTTTTACGGTGGATACAATATCGTCTTATTTGCGTGATATATTTGTAATATTCTTGTTAGACTTAACGAAGCACTTAACAGTTTTTACTTTGGATCAAATTGCAAATCTTAGGATTTTACATGGTCTTCTCAATACTCGTTCCATGTAGGAAGTTTAGAATATTATGTTATTACTTGTTCACTTGTAAATGGTATTTTAGTTACAACATGAATTTACCAGTTGGAGTAATGTCATCCTGTAGCTAAAGTTTAATTGACTGTATCTAATTTCTGTTGTTGTTTTATTATGAAGAAATTTTTAAATTTAATATTAATGTTGAAATAAACTTATCAAAGAGAAACGGGTGGAATCATAATTGATATCAAGATATTTCATTTATAACAAAATTTGTTAAAAGTAATTCCAAATATTAATAGTGAGGTTGATGATAATCGGTATATTAAAGTTGGTTTAGTTCAGTATACTACAATCCAGTAATGCTGCAATACGATAATAAGTTGCAGGTCGATCAGACTCTGATAGCAGTATATAAAATCATTTAACCTATAAAAAAAAGCAATCGCTCTATATAATCTGAAGTAATTAATGTATTATAAAGAGATAATAATACAGAATTAAGACTAATATGTTATAGTTTCTTCATTCAATAAAAATAAAACCCTGTCTACTTCTTTATGTGTTATAAAACACTACCATTGATTGGAAACTAACTATAGTTACATATTATTGTAATTAAGTATTCTTCTTTGGGATCTGCCACCTTGACGTGGTGAGTAGAAGCAGTAGTTACGTAAAACCTTCGAGCGTTGCCGGCGGTAGCATGCTACTGGTAGGGCCGCCCTTGCCGGTGAGGTCGGGAGTCAGTACTCATAGGAGGAGCGACCTATTTAAAAGTGACCTATCACTACGTGCAAAGCTTACAGGACTGATATTGCGCTTGTAACCCATCATCAGGGCTTTGCTCCCTTTTTTAACTATATTTTACAGAAATAAAATATGAGTCTAAACACGATTGAATTACAGTCTCTAAGTGGTACCTGTACTTATACGGCGAATCTACTTACTTTTGCAGCACACACAACGGATTTGGATATACGAAAGTCACGTTTAAAAGATCTCTTCGTTAGGTACAACTGTAACCAGATGGCCCTATGTTTCCCTGGGAACATAATGGAAGGAAGAAGAAGAAGTATTAAGTTTCGGTGTTAGATTAATTAGAATTATTTTTTATTCTAAATATTAACTATTATAAAAATTTTTAAAAATACTTAGACCAAAATAAAATAACATTATAAAATGAACTAACAATTGAACAAAATTTCTAATATTTTTTAACTCTTTAAAGTGGTACTAAGATAAACTTCTTTAGTCCAACTGCACAATAGTAGCAATATTTTTTGAATAATTTTAAAACAATTGAACAAAACAATTGACACAAAATATATTTAAAAGTTTTATTTAAAAAATATTTTTTGTTTTGATTTTAGTTAAAATAAGCAAATATTGAACAACTTGAAAATCATGGCTAACAATGTGAGTAGCACTTGTCAATTATATTGAAAATTCTCTTGAAATAGTGAACGTGTGCAAAATATAGGTCGCCAGTAACGCAAAAGCCGTAAAATAGTTAACTCGAAATCTGTTACAAATTTTTAAAGAGTCAAGCTTCAATTTAACACCTTAACTCCAAACCGATAAAACGGCAATAACCATTCGAAAAATGGTTAATCAGTCACAAAAGTTCATTGAGCACGATTTATGCACAAAAACCAATAAACAATAAACAAACTTAGTTGAGATACAAGAAAAGACAAAAATGTTCATTAACAAATAGAAAAGATTAAAACAATATATACGTATATATATAAAATATCAAAAATTTGTATAACTTGTGAATTGCTTTAATTATTATAAATTTTTATTTAATTTTCAAATATTTTTAAATTAATTTTTAATTAAATTCAAATGTTAAACTTTGTCGAAACATTTATTAGACAATGAAACTGTTTTGCGATTTTGTTAAATTTGTCAAATAACAAAGAATTTCAACCAAAAGAAATTATAAACGCTTCGACCTTCAACGGGTGAAAGTTAAAAGATATTCTGTATCTCAAACAAAGATCGAACATTCTAGCCACAAAAAAAGACCAAAAGAATAGCGTCAATAAGAAAAAATATTGGTCATTAGATATTAATGACAAATTTTCTTTTCAATTGCCAAAATACGTAAACACTTTCTTACTTCTTACCCACTCTCTGTGTATTTTTTGTTTTAATAATCTTTTAAGCCTTTTAAATTTATTAATTGTAAAAAATTTACTTGAGCTAATTTTAGTTTATAAATAAAACAAACTAAAAAACTAAATAAACATAGACACGTTTCTATTACGAACAAGGGAAATTTAAATATAAATAATAAACTGAGTAATCGATTTTATCTGCTCGCAAGTATTGCTACTGGAATTTCGATTAACTTTTTACTTCAATATAACTTTTGCCATTAGGTGTGAGATACAGCATCATTCTAATAATTTTCTAATAAGAAAATTTTCGATGATATATTGGTACTAAACTGACATCTATCGAAAGTTAAACTAAACTAAACTATCACATAAAGGTGTCCAGTGTTGACAATTCGAATGCTATTCAAACATGAAACTACACGTAAGCGAAATTACACAGTCTACATATCACATAGTTCATATTATGTAGATGGTGATATGCTTCTGATAACAATACAAATCATTTAAATTCAGATCATCACTTTTACATCATGATTTAGTTATCATATGATGGTAGCAATCGGAATAGTGGATCTGTGTCACACCTTCATTATTTCCAAACAGTTCAGTCCTCCCAGATCTTCACTTTTACAATAAAATGATTTGGTGATCATATGGTGGTAGCAATCGGAATAGTGGATAGTGGATCACACCTTCATTATTTCCAAAAAATTCAGCTCTCTATCACCTCTAGAACAAACGCCATATCACATAGTGACTTTTAATCATTGTAATAGACTACTGTTCTTTGTGGAAATTTATTGCTCCAGATCTGACTATTTGGTTTGAATAGTGAGTCTGCGTTATCCAAACGCTATTATTGAACTACCTAACAATAGCTGAGTAATGGTTAGCTAGCTTCAGTTCTTACGTTAATTGAATTTCATAAGTTTAAAAGTGCAATTCGTAAGATAAGTCCAAGTACGGAGCGTTCATGTGAAACGAAACTTTAAATTTTCTTTGACACTTTCATTATCAGTAGCAATATTTTCAGCTGTGCATGCATTGATATCTAATGCATGATATCTAAACTTTAACACAACTGTTGCAGACTCAGATGCATAAATTTGAAGCTAAAATCACTATTAAATTTTCATAATATCAATATTGTAGAATAGCAAAGCTTAAACCAAGCAAATGATGCTTTGGATGACAGTTCTATTTGGTACACGTCCCTAAAAGAGTGCGGCCAAAGTAAAACCGCGAAACGGAGACTTTTTCATTAATCTGGTATAAACTAAAAATGCCGCCAATAACATAATATATTCTGGTACACGCATAAATCAAGTAATGATGCAAATTATATAAATTCATAAAAGAAACGTGTAGCAGCTTCTATTTTTTTAGCATATGGTAAATCTTTTTAATGCAAATTAAATGTTTTTAACAAATTTGACTTCATAGAAATATATTAAGATGTACCAAATTAAAGAGCTACAATATGTACATGTTTTTATATATATTCAATTTTACGTTGATCGCATCTTTATCAAACTAATTTTTTTTATTCAAGTCAAAACATATAATTTATATTTGCTGTTATTTCCATTATTAAAACACTCTATAATTTGTTTATCAATAAAATTAGCATTTATTAATATTTCGTTAACGAAAACCTTTCGATAGCATGAAGACAGTATGAAGACAGCATCAACTCCAGTTCAATAACCTACAATCTTTATTTTATATAAATTTATAATTTTATTTACTTTTTTTAATGATGAAGCATTTTGCCATAATTTAAATTTATTTCTAATAAAAATTTAACAAATATTCTGCCTTTTTTTATTTGTTGTTTTTGTTTTTATTCAAAGATTGAATTAATACATATGCTAAGTATGTTGTTTATTTAATTTAAAAATGACGCATACTTTTAAGCATTTCATTGGAAATCATTAAATTAAATAAAATTTATAAAAACAAAAACAAACCAAAAAAAAATAAATAAATAAAAACATCATTAAATATCTAACCACAATTCAAGAAGTAAGAAGCTTCTGACCCAATGTTTTAGGAAACATAACTTCAAATTCAAAAGACTTAAGCTGCGAACTTGTTTAATTATAGTTTTTATGAAACAATTACGATGACTAAATTATTTATACGAAAATCCGTTTTAAAAGTGAGATAATTTTTAACTTAAAACCTTACCATGCTAAAATAAACAATTTCATTAAAAATTTTAATTTGACAAGTCAAAAAATTTAACTTTACGACAACAAAATTACTATGCTTTGTTTTTTTATATTATTAAATTCTTTTTTTCTATATCGGAAGACTTGGGCGCAGACAGAAGAGAAGGGGGAAGGGGAAGGCGAATGGTAGCAAAACTTCATTTTAAACTTATGACAGGATATTGTATTATACTAAAAACTAGGCCGAAGAGACATTTGTCCTATATAGATTAAGATTATATAGATTCATTAAAATTTAGTCATTAAAACTTAGAATCTTTAGACCAGCTATACTCAAAAAAAATAATATATCTGCATTATAAAAAATATTGAAGACATATTCAAAAGAATTTATAGAGAGTGCATAATATTATTTGATACAATATACTGTGTAAATACTTAAAAATACCCGGAAGAATTTTTTTAATCTAATGAGAAACGATAAAAGAACGCTTATTAAAAAAAACCTATTTGACTTTCCACTAAAAATAAAAAAAAATCCTCAACATCATTTACTTTTATTGACTAAACCAAACATTGAAAGTGTAACAGTTGCTGACGTTAGTAATTCTTTATAAAGGAATAGTTTGTAATATGGGAATAGATATTATCTTAATCTTATTCAACAATTTATATATAATAATTTTGTGTATTTTTCTTTTAATTTATTTTTACTTGCTTTTTTTCCAGGATGACTTTAGCATCGATGGCAATCTCAATGTATTTCAGTGTCTTAGCAAGTGTGATTCGCTGGTGTTATATCAATATGGGTTTGTAAATAATATTGCTGATTTTTATTTGGAAGGTTTGGAAGGCCTTTATTTCATTTATCAGGAATTAATTGCGTTTTGTAGATTAGTAACTACTTTTCGTCCTTATTTTCTGTACATAACATGACACTATCATCTGAATAGGTGGCAATCATGCTTTTTTATTGCAGAAATAGTTCCCGATTATATGGGTTATAATGCTTTAGTACTAAGTTAGCTTAATTCGATACATATGCTGCTATAGCTTCGAAGTTCGAAAATGTGTTTCCCTGCTTGACCCGGAAGTATCGTGAAATTATATAAAACTCCTACAGTAAACTATATTAATATGAGGAACAGTTTTAACTCGTATATTAAACCTTTCTGCCATACCTTGTGAAATACTTAAAACAAGGTATTAAGGAAGATAGCAGCATACTACTTTTTTCTTCTTTAGCGTTTCTTTTATTTGTATTGTTATTCTATTCTATGGACTTATTCAAGTGTCGAGTGCTTGAATAAGTAGCGAATTGATAAAAAAAACAATAATTTATAATAGTAAAGTATCTATACTTTACATATGTGTATACACTTTATATACATATAGCATATGTAGTCGGTGAATTACTTAGTATGACTTAGGACTTGTGAGAATTGATAAATTTTATTTTTATCAAAATATTTTCTATCATTATGTATGAGTTATGACCATCTTTCTGCTAATTTATAGATTCCATCAAAAAAACATTGTTTGTATTTTGTTGTGATCCATTTATACAGCCATTTTTTGATTTCTTTGTGGTGTCTCAAGTGCCAGTCTCGAACAGCGTTATGCATTGATCAAAACAAATAGTAGTGCAGAAAGAAATCTAAGTCACTTTTTAAAGATTTCGATTTAAAGTTAAACATAGTCACTCATATGTTAGACCTAACTAATGGGGAAGTTTGCCTTAATATTATGAAAATTTCACAAACTTATGTGTTTAATAATATGTATATTAGTTTCTTAGAAGTTAGTAGCGAGTGACTCTGGTAATATTTTGAAATATATTACATCTATTAAGCAAATTGTGCCTTCTGTCGATTTTTAAAAATAGTTTCTTAAGAATATAATTCACTACATTTATTTAGAAAAAAAGTTAATTTAAGAAGCATAAAATATAACTTGTAGAAACAACGTAAAAGTTGAAGAATCGATTATATTCGTGTATGAA